AGGGTCCCCCTCACAGAGGTATGGAAAATGAACCTCGAGCTCAGCTTTTACTTACACTCCATAACTGGTAGCTCTGATTATTGCTGACTTAAGCATCGGAGTGTCTACCCCGAGAATCCACCTCGGGTCTTTGCAGGATAGCTGAAGTGAAGACAAGATCTGGAGTACCTCAGTTCTCTGCAACTACATTGGCGCCGTCTGTGGGAAACCGAGCTAAAAGCCTTAGCTAGTGGCTGTTACGATGACTAACGTGCGCTCAACGCACCACGGAAGTCCTCAACAAGGGCACGGAGATCAGTCCCTCAATGGAAACCCCACATCTCACCCCATGCCACCCCCTCCAGCCCAGCCCCAACACATGGAGGAGATCGGGGAAAATAATCCAAACTCAGTAGGAATCCCGAGCAACCCCATAGCCACCCAACTTAATGCCATGCAACAGCAGTTCGGTGTGTTTCAACTCGTGCTCGCCCAACTGTTGGCTAGAGATAACCCGGGTGACCCCCTCATCACATTATTAAATCCCACCAACCAAGCACGAAACCACCAGCCTCAACAAAATGTCGGCTCACCAGCTCGGACTGCTGCCCCACCCCCCAATGAGTCTCAAGCTCATTCCCGTGTGGCACCTCAACCTCGGCAACCATCCCAACCGGTTGTCTCAAATCTTCCTAACCAACCGCATTCAGACCAAATAGTGCCTGACAACCGAAGTCCCCACGTCCCGGCTCAACAAGGCTCTGCCCCTCTCCATACCCCTCTTAACACCAACATCATTCATGAACCTTACCCACCTGGGTTTAGAATGCCTCAGTTCGAGACATACGACGGTACCAAGGACCCTGATGATCACTTGCACGCATTCTACTCCGTAATGCAAGCTCAAAATGCTTCAGATGCCTTGATGTGCAAAATATTCCCTTCTACCCTGCGTGGAAACGCGCGGACTTGGTACTACAGTTTGCTGCCGAACTCGATCAGTTCTTACGCCGAGCTGGTGGCCTCCTTTGCCATGAAGTTTTCCAGCCGCCAGCTGATCAAGAAAACAACATCCGAGCTCATGCGGGTGGCCCAGAGAGAAGGGGAGTCCTTAAAAAACTACATGAACAGATTTAATGATGCAGTGCTGGAAATCGGCTCATTTAGCCAAGCTGTCGGGTTAGGTGCACTAACCCAAGGCCTCAAGCATGACAGGTTTCGGGATAGCCTCATAAAGCATGCCCCTTCCACGTTTGATGAGGCCAATGAAAGATCCTGGAAGTTTATCAAAGCCGAAGAATATGCTTTGTCTGCCAAGCCAGTCCCAAATAAGGAGGTAAGACCTCCGACCTGGAGAGATGAACCACGGAACCAGAAGAGATTTAAGCCTACACAATACCGAGGTCCCTTCCCACCTAAACTAGACAGACCTCCAGTACCTACCCCGCAGCCCATGACGAAGCAAGTTGCCTGGACTCCGTTTAACCTGCCGAGGTCACAGATCTTAATGCAGATCAAAAATAAAATGGAGCTCAGAAGGCCTCTTCCTATGCGAAGCTCACCCGCCTCAAGAGATCAGAGTAGATACTGTGATTTCCACCAGGATCACGGGCACATCACGGAGGAATGCAACAGCTTGAAGTCCGAGCTTGAGGGTTTAGCTCGGAAAGGGTTGCTAAACGAGTACATTTCTAACAGAGACCAACTCAAATTCGTCTGGGAGCAGGGGCGACCCCAATCATCCCGAGATGCAAACAACCGACTTGGAGTCGGATATCAACAAGCACCACCCCCGCTCCCTCCGCCCTCGCGCATCATTCATATGATAACAGGAGGGTTGGAAGCCGGAGGGACGAGCTCAAAGCAGCAGAAGCTGTATGTGCGAGAGGTGAAGCATCCCAACCGGGCTCAAAAAAGGAAATTTGACGAGGCAGATTGGAAGAACCAACCCATAACATTCAGCTCCGCTGATTTTGCTGGTGTCGTCACACCACACAATGACCCGTTGGTCACCTCGGTCATGGTCAATAATTGCGAAGTTCAGCGCGTCCTTGTAGACACAGGAAGTGCTCCGGACATCATGTACTACCACTGCTTCGAAAGCCTTGGCCTCGATCCTGCCCTTCTACAGAAGTATGACGGCCCCATCTACGACTTCAACAATCAGCCAGTGCCTGTGGAAGGAATCCTCAAACTTAATGTAGCATTTGGCTTAGGTCGAGCCTATGTAACCCCCTCAATCCGATTTTTGGTAGTAAAGATGGCGTCATCCTTTAACATCGTCATCGGAAGGCCAACCCTAACTGAAATTAGGGCAGTTGTCTCACCATCCCACCTTTGCCTTAAATTTCCTACCCCCACGGGTGTGGTGACGTTGAGGGGAAATCAAGAGATAGCCCGGCACTGCTACGTGACTTCGGTCTCCCGACCTCGGAAGGACAAACAAGTACCAAACTTAGAGCCAACTCAGCCCGAAGTCCCACCCACGCAGCAAGTAATGGGTGTGGAATTGCTAGATAACAGACCTGATGACGAAGCCAGGGCCACTCTGGCAGAAGAGGTGGAAGAGGTGCAGCTTGACAGCAATGATCCCACTAAAAAGACGAAGATCAGCACCAAGCTGAGCTCCAAAGACCAGGCAGAGCTCATTGACTTCCTCAAATCAAACAGAGACGTGTTTGCCTGGACCTCAGCTAATATGCCCGGCATACCCACCTCGGTTGCGGTCCACAAGTTAAGCACTCACCCCTTGAAGAAGCCCGTAGCCCAGAAAAGATGCCTGTTCGGCGGAGAGCAGTTGGAAACCATCAAGGCAGAGGTACAGAAACTCCTACAAGCCGGGTTTGTAAGGAGAGTAGACTACTGCGAATGGGTTGCCAATCCCGTTCTAGTCAAGAAGTCAAACGGCCAATGGAGAATGTGCGTTGACTACACGAATCTGAATGACGCTTGCCCCAAGGACTGCCATCCCCTGCCAAGTATAGATAGGCTGGTGGAATCCGCGTCCGGAAATGAACGACTTAGCCTTTTGGATGCTTACTCAGGGTATCATCAGGTCCACATGGCCCCCGAGGACGAGGTAAAGACCTCTTTCTACGCAGGCAACGAGATCTATTGCTATGTAATGATGCTGTTCGGGCTCAAGAACGCCGGGGCCACATACCAGAAGATGGTGACGATTGTGTTCCGAGCTCAGATCGGCAGAAATCTCGAAGTCTACGTTGACGACATAGTAGTCAAAAGCCTCAAGGCAGAGGACCACCTAACTGACCTGGCAGAAACATTCAACAACCTCAGAATACACCGCATGAGGTTGAACCCAGCCAAGTGCGTCTTTGGTGTCGAATCCGGCAAATTCCTTGGGTTCATGGTCTCCAGGAGAGGGATCGAAGTCAACCCTGAGAAAATCAAGGCGATAGAAGAGATGAAGCCCCGAAATCGATTAAGGATATGCAGCGCCTAGCTGGGAGAATTGGAGCTCTGCACAGGTTTGTGTCGGAGTCTGCAGAAAAATGTTTACCCTTCTTCAAAATCCTGAGATCCGTGGCCCATAAAGATGAAACAGGGAAACCTAAGAAGTTCGAATGGACCTGAGAGTGTCAAACCGCCTTCAATGACCTTAAGTCCTACCTCGGTTCACCACCTCTGCTAACCAAGGCCGTGGAAGGCGAAATCCTTTACCTCTATCTCGGAATCTCAGATGCGGCAATAAGCTCGGTCTTAGTCAGAGAGGCAGACAAATAGCAAAAGCCGGTTTACTATGCCAGTAGGGTTCTACAAGGAGCTGAGCTGCGGTACTCCATTGCAGAAAAAGCAGCTTTAGCAGTGGTCACCACGGCACGAAAATTGAGACCCTATTTTCAGGCTCACCCCATTGTGGTGTTAACCGACCAACCCCTCAGGCAGATCTTGCAGAAGCCGGAATGCTCGGGCAGACTTATCAAATGGGCAGTGGAGTTGGGGGAATTTCAGATAACATTTCAGCAGAGGTCATCAATTCGAGCTCAAGCCTTAGCAAACTTCATCGTCGAATGCACCTCGGCCTCCGAAACCGTCGCTTCTGAAGCCGAGCAATGGACCCTCTATGTGGATGGGTCCTCAAGCAGCAGAGGGTCAGGGGCCGGAGCGGTGTTGATGGGGCCAGGAAGCTTCCGAAGTGAGCATGCCTTGAAATTTAATTTCGAAGCAACAAACAATATGGTCGAATATGAGGCACTCCTTCTCGGACTTCGCTTAGCAGCTGAGTTAAAGGTCAGATCTCTACAAGTTTACAGTGACTCACAACTCATCGTCAACCAAGTCAACTCTACATGCGAGGTCACAGACCCCACCATAGCAAAATACTTAGCTGTGGTTCTGAAGCTCCAAAGCCAATTTGAAAGGTTTCAACTCACCAAAATCTCGAGGTCCGAAAATGGCCATGCTGATTCGCTATCAAAGTTAGCTTCCGACTGCTCAAGTGGACTGAGGTCAGTTTTTGTCGAGGTCTTAGACGAACCAAGCTTCCAGAGGTCGCAAGTGATGGACATCAGCACCGATCCCGAAGCCCCCAGCTGGACCGATCCCATTAAAGCCTATCTCTAGGATGGGACTGTCCCAACTGACAAGCAAGAGGAGATGAAGTTGCGAAGGAAGGCATCTCGGTACATGTTGATGGATGGTACCCTGTATAAGAGGTCATACTCGCTTCCCCTTCTTCGATGTTTAACTCCTTATGAGGCCGAGTACGCACTTCGTGAAGTGCATGAGGGTGTATGTGGCAGTCATGTCGGAGCTCGAGCCTTGGCTCACAAGGTACTTCGGCAAGGATATTACTGGCCACACATGCAAGAGGATGCCAAAAAGCACGTCTAGAAATGGCTGAAGTGCCGATTCTTTGCACATCTCACCCACCAACCAGCAGAGGAACTGACCACCTTGGTGGCACCATGGCCCTTTGCGCAGTGGGGGATTGACCTCCTCGGTCCTTTTGTGAAGGGAACAGGAGGCGTAACACACTTAGTCGTGGCCGTCGATTACTTCACCAAGTGGGTGGAAGCCCGACCTCTTTCTAGCCTGACCTCCAGAAAGATTGAGGATTTTGTTTTCAGTTCGGTCATATGTAGATATGGAATCCCCAACCAAGTCGTCGCCGACAATGGACCTCAGTTCAACTGCACCTCATTCAAAGACTTCTGTTCCAGCTACGGGATTAAATTGGTGTTCACCTCTGTCTATCATCCTGAGTCTGTTAATAAGGCCATCCTAGAAGGAATTAAGCCCCGGCTAGATCAAGTCAAAACCAAGTGGGCGGATGAGCTCAACAATGTCCTATGGGCCTACCGAACTACAAGTCGAACAGCCACAGGTACGCAACTTAGGTACCTTTTCACTCTAATGTCATTACTCACTCTATAAAATGAACCCTAAAATCACAACTCCTCCCCATTAGGCGAAACACCCTACCACTTGGCTTTTGGGACCGAGGCTGTCATCCCTGTCGAAATAGGCGTCCCAAGCCTACGAGTGACCCACTTCGACCCAGCTCGAAATGAGCAGTCGCTAAGAGAGAACCTCGATCTTTTGGACGAAGTCCGCGAGGAAGCTCGACTTCGGACATTAGCATACAAGCAGAAGCTGGCCAACTCATACAACAGGCGAGTCCGACCTCGAACCTTTAGAGTTGGTGACCTCGTCCTTAGAAAGGCAGGACTCACCGGCTTCGAAACCCGCTTCGGCAAGCTTGCGCCCAATTGGGAAGGCCCCTACGTAGTAGCCGAAATCCCACACCCCGGCGCTTATGTACTGGTAGACGCCGAGGGCAAAAGAATACCTAGGGTTTGGAATGTAAATAATTTAAAGAAGTTTTATCCATAATAAAGCTTCATTTCATCCAAATTCTTGACATCTGAGCTCGAGCTCTCATGTCGACTTCTACCTCGTCTTTAAAGTTAACATTTCTGATCTCTTCCCATCCGAGGTCAAATAGTCTATTTCTTTTCTACTATATTATTTTTCAACTTCGTTACAATTTTTCAGTAAACAATATCGCAATAAACGCCATACATTTCCAAAATTTCAATTCATTCATTCCAATTGCAATAAAGATTGTTTTCTACATATATTAAAAATTCTAAAAATTACAAAAGGTGAGCTGGCCGAGCTCAATCAATAATCTGGAGATGCTGGTCCACTTCTTCATTCCGCATGTTGTCCCCCACCTCCGTGCTCGGTGCCACCTCGGCCTCCTCCTCGTCCACAGCAACGAACTCGAAGTCCAGCGTCGATGGGAGGATAGTTTTTCCTGCCTCGTCCCGTTCCCAAGTCAGTTTCACGTCAGGGCGGAACTCCGCCGTCTTGCTATCCCCGTTTTCCTCTACCCCCGCCTCCTCAGGACCAAAGGTGATGCTTGTCATGTCCACCTCTGGATTCTGCGCCTTCACCTTCTTACGACAGTCGGTGAAGGCCATTACCAGTGTCGGCAAGCAATAGAGATCCGCCACCTCAGCAAACGTGGCAGACTTCACGAAGTCCAAAACGTTCTCCTCCACAGAGTTGTGGACCGCCAGCTCGGCTGCCTTTTTCACTTCGGCCAGCTCACTCTCCCTTCTTGCAAGTGCCTCCTCGCACTTCTTCCTCTTCTGCTACTCCAACTCAGCAACCTTCCTCGAGTTGGCCAACTCCTCCCTGACCTTCTCCAGCTCCGAGGTCAGCTCACCGAAGTTCTTCTCCGCCTCTTCCTTCTGGTGGTTGAGCTCCTCATTCTTCTTCACCAAGGCAAGCCGCTCTTGGAGACAATCGAAGAACTCGACCGCCATTGCATTCACTAAGTTCGAAGCCGAAGTCAAACATCAAATCCAAAAAAAAAAAAAAAAAACTAACTTAAAACTGAAGGAGTTTACCTCTAGGGCCTGGCGAACTACCCCAGCCCCCCCACTGACGGCCAGCTCATCCTTCGCCCTTTGCAGGTCCACCTCGGGAAAGTGGGCACCAATGTCCCCGAATCGTAGAAACTGGCCACCTGCCTGGGGTAAGGAACGGAGCTCTTCCCCCTACCGGGCACCACCACCTCAGTCTCCCGAAGTGCCGGGTCAATCTGAACTGGGGCCGGCCGAGGTACGAACTCGACCGGGGCCTCAACCTGCAGAGGCTGCACCTCCTCCACCCTTGGCCTCTTCCGGGCGATGACCTCCTCAGGTACACCCTTCCTGGGCTTAGAGCTGGGCCCCACCTCAGCTGGAGGCCTTGATGTCCCACCTCCAACCCGCTCCTCTTGAGCACCCGAGGTTGATGCCCTTGACCTCTTCTCCGGAAGTCGTATTGGTCTGCCCCCAGCTCTCAAACGATTCATCTCTTCTGCAAAACCAAACGAAGTCAAAAGTTGCAATCAGACTCCTATCCTACAAAGAACTCTACTTCAATTAACACAGACCTCTGCTCAACGAGCTCCTCCCATAGATTCCAGACGACTCCACCACCTCTGGATTAGTGAGGTACATTATGTTCGCCAGTTCCCCCCCACCTCTTTCCAACATCTTCACCTCGTCCTTCTCCACCTCGCCCAGCCGGTACTGGTTCGGATTTCTTCTCTTCCCCTTCCACCTACTCAGCTCTTCCACCTCCCTATCCCCCCTCCCCCACTCCGTGTCATCCACAAAGATAAACTTCTCCTTCCACCCCTTAATGGAGGAAGGACCTGCAGTGAACAGGTTTCTACTCTTCCCTCCAACTACCCGAGGTGTAAAGTAAAACCACCCCTTCTCCTTCCCACTACCCCCCTTGATTATAAAAAAAATATTTAAATAGATCTACAGTCGGAATTCGCACCCCCC